CACTGGGCACAGCAGTAGCCTCGCTCATCCCACAAGGGGTGGAACTCCAGCCCATTCTCCGACTGCCGGGAAGAGACAGCATCAGTGCAGCAAGGGGGACATGTGGCCGAGGCGCCCCAGGAACACAGCCAGGATGTCCCAGGAGCACGGACAGGACATCCTGGGAGGGCAGCCTGGGCACTCCAGAAGCATGGGCAGAGCAGCCCGGGAGCATGGCCAGGGAACTCCAGAAGCCTGGGCAGGACCTCCCAAGGAGCACAACCAGGACACCCCAGGACCACAACCAGGAGACCCCAGCAGCACAGCCAGGACACCCTGTGACCATGCCAGGGCACCCCAGGAGCGTGACCAGGGCACCCCGGGACCATGGCCAGGGCACCCCAGGGTGTGATTCCCCTCACTCACGTAGTCGTTGACAGGCAGATCCTCCTCGGTGAGCTGCCGTGCCCGACGCTTGGGCCCTGGCTGCGCATCCTTCTCCACCTCGTGTTCACTCACCCCGTCCCACCAGCTCTGGTTGTCTAGGAGCAGCTCAGGGTCATCTTCTTCTGCCCCTTCAAGGTTGGCCAGCTCAGGAGCTACAGGAAGAGCCCAAACGTGGCTGTGAACAACCAGGGAGCAGAGGGACAAATGCAGCAGGAGGCATTAATGTCTCTACCAAAATTTGGTGCCAAGGTACAAGAAAAGCCCACCAGCAAACCAGCTGTACTCCATTTGCCCTTACCAAGCCTGGGAGAAGGGCTGTAGGAGATAATATGCTGGGAGGAGAGGGTAGAGAAGACATGGCCTGTCCCCTTCCCGTGCTCATGGGTGGTGGGTGCCCATGGGTGGTGTTGGCATCCCCTGCATGGGGCTGCGGGTGCGGGGAAGCACGTCCTCATGGTGGGCTCTGCTGCTGGGGGGCATGATTTGTAGAGTCCCAGCAAAGCGACACGATTTGGGGCGGATTAGGCGCAGCTACAGCACCCACGGCTTATGTAAGACCCACAGTGACATTGATTTCCTTTGCTGGAACTCAGCCGCAGTTGGGGTCTGACAGCGGGGACCGAGGAAGCAGAGTGGGGACAGCAGCCGAGGACAGCAGCCTCCCTCTGCACCGGGGACCTCTGATGCCCACTTGCTCCCAGGACCATCGATGGCCATGAGCCCATGGTACCTGTCGGGGACGAGATGTGACTCTGTGGCTGCAGAGTGAAGGGATTTTTCTCGATAGGGTTTTTTAAACTAGCTCATTCTGATAGAAGTGGGTTAGACAGAGCAGGTAATTACGCTGGCGGATCTCAGAGGCCGCAACCTCTGTGAGGGCTGTGTAGTGAGCAGCTGGAGGTGGCAACCCCGTTGTGTGATTTAGATGCAGATGTCTGCTCATGCTCTGATGTTCATGCGGTGATGAGAATTTAGGCATCCCAATTTCCAGCAGTGCTGGCTGCTTTGCAGGTACAAAGGGTTGGGTTTTTTTTTTTTGCCTTGTTATGAGGAGGGGGGCCACTCTGGAAAGGGCAGGGCAGTGGGGAGCCAGTGGAGACAAGCGCTTTGCAGAGAGAAACTTCAGCCCCTGCTATTACATTGGCCATGTTCTCTTCCAGTCATGGCCAACATGTTCATGCCCGAGATGAACGAAGCTACAACGAAGCTCTGGAAATGGGTTCCCACCATGTCACAGTGGGGAACATGGCAGGGGGGATGTGGGTGGGTGGCAGGGCTGCTCCCAGTGAGGGGGCTCATGAGCACTTCGGGGAGGGAGATAGCTCCTTGTACCTGCTATCGGCGTGGGGTGGATCCAGTAGATGGTCACATTTCTGCAGATGTCAAAAATTTTGGAGCTCTTCAGGAACTCTTTGTTCTGAATGGGCTTTTCCCCAGGCACCCAGACCACAGACTGCTCAAAGTAGGTGGTTGTGATTTCTTCTCCCTGGAAGAAGAGCAAGATTTCACCCTGGCATGGTGAGACAACCTCTCTCCACTGCTGGCTGCTTCTCCTCCCCTTGGCTTACGCAGAGGCACCTCTTCCCTCCCAGAGAGCAGCAGGACTTCATCCACCCTGGCTCTTCGTGCTCACTGGGTGCACATGCAATACCCTGCTGGTCCTCACGTGGGGACACCCATCATGAGCCTTGTCTTTCCTGTCCACTTTCAGCCACCACCACTCCACTCTCTCTTCCCTCCGTTTGTCGTGCTTCAAGACCCTTCTCCTGTGAAGTCCCCACCATCTGGAAGAGCCTTCTGGAGCACCCCAGCTCATTTAAAACCCAAGATTAAAACATCTCCTCTCTGCTTTGCTCTTACTACTTAATTTCTCTCTCCTTCTGCTACCGATTTTGTGATCGAACACTTTAATTTATTCCTCACAGAAATTCTTTGCACGGCCGTATGCTGTAATTTATACCACATGTCTCTGCCGTTGCATTAGTCCATGGCGTGTTTTGGCAGACGCTTAGGGAGGGAGATATATAAAGATTATTGGATGGGTCTGCTCTGAGCTATCTGCCAAGACAACGTTGTGTATGTTGGTGGTGGTAGCCCATAGAGCAAGCTGGGAAATGGCATTTTTCTTTCCAGAAGGTGTCTAGAGCTGTATTTCTCTTTTATAGAGTCTTTTCTTACGGCTTTGGGAAGTCTTAGGAAAGAGCCAACACAACCTGACCCTGTCTGAATCATTTTCGGAGTCTCTGGTGAAAGCCACGGGCTGGGCAGGTGCTGCTTGAAGGACCTGGCAGCACATGGGCTCTGGGAAGAGACGACTAGAGCTTAAATCTACATTTATCTCATTGGGTTTTACATTTCAGCTCTCTACCTGGGGCAATGTTCTGCTAACGCCTGGGAAGTCATATCCCTTTTACGACGGTAGCCGAAAAGATCTATTAGCTTCTTACAGCACAATCAAAGAATCGGTGTCTGGGAATTTGGGTCATGATTCAGGGAAATGTTTCTGCCCACGCTTCGTTTCAAACATGTGTCCTGCCAGTGTTTTATCTGCAGTAGTGTCCTTGGGGGGGATTCAGTCTGCTAACACCCTTCATCTTGCAAATGGGGAGACAGGAGGGCTGTGCCGCAGGGTGGTGCCACCACCAGGGGCTCGGGGACGGGGGACAACTGCTTTCAAGGGACTGAGCCACCAATCCAGGTTACGCTGTCACAGAGGGGTTAAAATACGGAGTCAAATACTTTTTTCCACACAGCGTGCAAAGCGTGAGGCTCCTTGTAGCAGGCTGTGGTGGGCAAAAGTTAAACGGGTGTAAGAAGCAATCAGGCACCTCGATGGGAGGAAGGTCCATGCAGGACAAGGAGGTGGCCCCAGCCCGGTGCTTCCCATCTCGCAGGGCTGTACACCAAGTGCTTTCTCAAATCGCATTTCTTAAATGCGGCTGCTCTTTTAAATTCATTACTTCTGCCTCATTCTGCTTGAGAACATGAGGCTCAATTCTCAGAGAAAACAATTTGATTGACTTCTTGGTGCCTGCTAATCCTGAGCTGCCTTGCGACCGTTTGACTACAACAGGATTATTGTTCTTGATCCCCGGTATTGTGCCGAGAGGTTTTTGTCTGTCGGCTGTCTAATCCCGTCTCTTTCCAATTGTTGTTTTTAGAAGCAATCCTCTGAAATAAGATCATTTTATGAAGCGATCACAACTCATTATTTCTTTATTGCAGCATCTCTGGGAAGGCTGGAGAGATGGGAGGGTGGTGGGGATGGCGGCCACACTCCCCACGCCGGTGGGGAGTGGGTTTCACTGGGGGCAGAAATTATTCACTCTTTTATTCACCTACCTCAAGCTCGGGGATCTTGGCCTCCGTCGTCTCAGGTAGGACTTTAGTCTGAGTTTTGATGAAACATTTTTGAAGTCCCACAAAGAAGATGCCAGTTATTCCCTACAGCATCAAAACAAACACCAAAAAAGCAGTCAGGGCAAAGCAGGAGGATAAACAACCCCATCGTACAGAGGGTACAGCTGGATGAGGGTTTAGTTGTATTTTTCCTGTCGATGTTCTTGCACAAACTATGTTCAGTGCTGATGCTAAGATGTACTAACAGGTTCTCCTAAGGGATATTGCATTTTATGGTTTGGGAGAATTGGGCTTTTTACAAATAGTTTAAAGCAGATAGTAATAAAATTTTACTTTGCTCCCCTTCTCCTTATAACTACCACGAGCTCTGGTTATAATAAATAAAAATATGCAGAATAGCATCTGACCGTTATGCTTATATGAACATTCAGCCCCCAGTTCCTGCTAGGCTATTAGCTGAAAATTTTGCCATATGTCACTTTCCCTACAAATTTTAATTAGGTTTCAGAGAGAGCCTACAACATTGTCATGAGGTTTTAATGCTCTCCAGACAGACAAATGTACTGGGCTTGGATAGATTTATGATGATTGCATTCCTTTGCAAGGGTAAATCCAATAACTAGGTCTTGCTTCTAAGATGTATTTTGCTGGAACTGAAGCACTCCACTATTAAATACCGGTGGAAGCTTATGTAGATACACATCTCCTTTCCTTTGAGAGCATCCCCAGAGAGTCTGCATCTGGGCATTGCTCTCCCTGACGCAGAAGCAAATCATCCTGGAACTCGCTCCAGCAACGCCGCGGTGTCCTAAGGGATCCCACCAGTCCTGCTGCAAGGCAGCAGGCAAGGTCCCGGGGAGAAACCCTGCCGCACTCACATTTTTGAAGTCATGGATCTCCAGGATTTCCTCGCTGCCATTCCCACTCCTGAAGGTCTCTGTCCTGGCCAGAGGGTCGATCTCCATCACAATCTTCTTCTTCTCGCCATGGCTGAAGAAAGTGTGTTCCATGTCATAAACCTGCGAGGGACAAAACCGCACGGGGGTCAGCTCAGCCCCCACCCAATTTCACATGCCAGCCAGCGGGCGAGTGGGCTGGTGCTGGGTGCCTGACCCCTGGTGCTGGGTACCCTGCCGTGGGGCCGGCTGCTTCCCCGCACCCCGACTCTGAGCCAGGACGATCGTCTGTGTAGCGCAAGAGGCAGGTCCCAAGCACCAGGGCTGGAAGAAGGGCAGGACGGGGCCAGGCTGTGGGCGGACGTGTGTGTCAAGCCTGGGAGAAGATGTTCATCACACCCTTGCACCAGGAGCTTTGCCATGGCTCAGCCTTGGCCAGTGTTTTCTGTGGCACGAGCCTGTTTACGTCCCAGGCTGGACTGAAGTGCTGAGCCCAAGCGACCTCGCTTTGCCGTGTCCCTGGCTGCCTTGCTCCACCACTGCATCCCTGGCTCACCTGCTCCATCACTGCGTCCCCATCTTTCTTGCTCCACCACCGCACCCTCAGCTCGCTTGCTCCATCATGTCATCCCCAGCTCACTTGCTCCAGCTCTGCACCTTCTGTTTTTCCTGGAAAGGCAGAGGTAAAAGCCTCTCTCTGCCTGCAGGAGATCAGGGATTTCCTGCGGATCAAAGACCTCCTCGAGGGCTGATGAAGAGCTTCGGGGCGTAGCAGCCGGCTTCCCAGCGGCACTCATCCCTGTGGGGAGCCGGGGCAAGCCGCGCCGGGGGGAGCAACCCTCTCCTCCTCACAGGTGCTCGCCGCACTCAGCCAGCCCAGCAACCCTCCAGTCTCTGCGGATGCCTGACCCTCAAAGGATGAGCGGTGGCAGATGCCATCTGAAGCATAAAAATGATCCTGCTGGTGCAGCGAGAGCTGGCGAACCCTGGGGAGTCTTGTTTCCCAAATCAAATGGTGTTGTGCAGAAGCAAAGGGCTTGTGCAAAACCCCTCAAGTCCACAGGGCAGGGGGGAGTGATGGAAGCACGGCGACGGGAAAGCCCTGTTTGTCCCCCAGCACGGCTGTGGGGCCGGGGAAGGAGCAGCCAGTCCCCGCAGCAATGCCGCGGCGAGGGGCAGGGGCTCTGCTTGCAGTCCCAACTGAAACCCCATTTCACAGTCCCCTGGTTCTTGCACATCCCTCCCCATCAGGGCGTTCAAAGCCTCTTAGCAATGTTTTCAGCACCAGCATCCCCCGTTTTGCAACGGCTGGAGGAAGCCCGGGCGCAGAACTGGCTGTGCAGGCAGCAGCTGCCGGGTACCTTTACCCCTGCTTAAAAGTTAGAAGAGCGATGGGTGCCTTGGCAGCCATGAGCATCCCCTGTTAGTCAGGAGGAGGCTCTTACAAAGATATATAGCTGTCAATGGATTTTATGGTATGGTAAAAAAACCCTGAAGCCTAAAATGGCTGGAAGGCCACTGGTTTTGACTGACAAAATGAGCATGGTGCCATAAATCATTTCTAGGAGGGTAGGATCCCGGGTGACACCTTACCTTCAAGTGCCTCTCCATTTACGAAGAAATTACTTTTGCCAGTGCAGTGGCCAGATAACCCATTTGGGCTTGGCCGGCTCCGTGCTGCTCAGAGAGCTGTGAGATGTTTTATAGGGCTAAAAATGACACTTGCTCACAAATCGTTGAAATATGTCCCCCTGCGAGGCCGCGACGAGCCCCTCGTTAGCTGACTCATCGCCTTCGCTCGCCGGCTGTGCCGGCCGGCACGGATGCTGCCGTGCAGAGGGCAGCACCACGTCCAAGGCCACCCCTCAGAGGAACAAGTCTTCTTTAAAGATTTTTTCCATTCTCTGGTTGCATGAAGGAAGTTTGAAGGGCTTTTTTCTTCTTTAAGAGCTTAATTCCCCTTGTTTTATATTTTTGAGCACTAGGAATTTCCAGCATCCCCTGTCCCGCTTTTCCTGGAGGGCTCCCGGGCCAGCTGGAGAAGCGGATGCTCTATGGCCGCAGACAATGCGGCGATGCCGGACGCCGGGAGCATCGGCATGCAGCTCCACTGCAAAAACATCTTCGCTCTCCTGCGACCTCGCGCTTCGCATGCCCACCCATCAGGCGTTGTGATGGGCTTTCAGAAATACTGACGGGCTTCGCTCTCCACCAGTGCCCATCGGCGAGGATGCCGAAGGCCGGTGCTCTGGATAACCCTTCCAAGGCTGCGGCAACGGCTCTGCGCCGCCAGCTCGAGAGAAAACCTCCCCTCCAGGGGTTAACAGCCTCTTCCCCCCACGGCTGGCAGGCACCCTGTTTTTTGAGGAACAGTAGAGACTTTATAACCGTCTTGGCAGGAGGCTGGAGGCACATATGGCTTCTATTGCTTTTTCTTTTCTTTCTGGGGGTATTGATTTCTATTTGCTGATAAGAAGACAAAGTTTCCGGCGAGCGGGGTGCTTCCTCTGCCCTGTGGGAGGGCAGCCCGGCTGGGCTGGCCCGGCTCTGGTGTGGGGCTGGGAGGACAGAGGAGATGCCACCGTGGGAAAGAGGTCGCCTTGGCTGCGCATGGGAATTTTGGAGACGTTCTTGAGGGTCAGCAAAACCCGCCGGCATCAGGGTGCAAAGAGGGACCTCCTGGGTGAGCGTGGAGGGTGAAAGGGGAGGAGGATGAGGAGCGCCGGCAGGTTGTTGGCTTCAAGGTTAAACGATTTGCTTGGGGTATGGGACCAGAAAAAAAAGGGTTTTGGCAGAATTGCCGAGATCCTGGCCGGAGCGGGCAGAGATTCCGCCCCCGGCACGCTCAGCACTTACAGCAGCATCCATCTGGGGAGTTACGAATAAACGAGCACAATCCAGTTACCAGAAGCGCCTCCAAAAGCTAATCCGTCTCACTGTCCCCTCACATTGCAGACACATTAAAGTAAGAAATATAATCCATGACAATCAATTACCACTGCATCCTGGCATTCTCTCCTCTTTATGTGGTGGCATAATGACTTTTCCACGAGTTTCTGGCAAGATAATTGAAATGAAATGGAAAATATTTTCTTACTTGTCATAAAATTTGCTGCCGGTGAAATAAGAGTAACTTTAACTCTTCGTGGCATAGCTCCCATCCC